GATGTTTTTTTTTTTTTTTTCGTCTCATGTGGTCGATCCAACCTAGAGCGGTAAAAACGTTGAATACGGTAGTTACCGGAAGTTGAGATTTCGGGTGACCACTTGCACAGTTAGGCTCGGATGCCATTCCTCTCCTCACGGTTTCAGACAGGCAGCGCAGTAGCCGTGCTTGGGTCTTGGAATTTGCAGGCAGGTGCGATTGAAGCTGCCGTTGCGGGAGTGCCCCACTTCCAGACCAAGTCTCGCTCGCCGGGAGTGAGGCTCGCAGACCTCAGGGCTCCCAAAGCTTTCATCGTATAGACCGCTGCGGGGGGCTCCCCCGCTTTCCCTCCAGGCCCTGGGAGTGGATCCGCTGGCGAGTTGATGCATGCGCACGCGCCGCATCTGCCACCGGACTGGACCCGAATAGGTGCGAGGTGCGGGCGCTGTGTGCGAGAGAGAGTGAGCCTCGATGTGTCAGTGGTGCATGTGTGCGGCTGAAAAAGACATAGGACAAAGACCAAGTCACCCCGTCCCCATGTATGACTGCAGTCAGGAAACGTTTTCCCATTTTGCCGTAACGGTCGAAGTCACCACGTCGGGAACTGAAGGCGCTCGCTGTAGTTCGCAGGCCTTGCGAAATATCGGCGCTGCCCTCCTGGAGCCCTACAGGCGAGATCAGCTCCTGGTGATAGTCCCGATAGGCCCTTTGTCGAAGCAATAACCAGGTTGGAGTTCGAGAGGGTGGAGAAGCAGCATGTCGAGGCGCAGTTTGTTTGCGATGAAGAACCCCCTCCGCCACCCCCTCCCCCTCCTCCCCCAGGCCCTGCGGCTGCATCAACAGCAACAGCAGCAGCTCGCCGAGGAAGCAGCCAGGAAGGCAGAGCAGAGACTTGGCTGCCTGTGCTGCTACGCTTCGGACTGCTCCGCCGGATATGGACTAAGGCATGCCGCTGAGATGCAGCAGAAGTTGCAGCGAGTGGAGGTGCCAAGGGCTAGGCACAAAGGGGCAAAAGCGGAATTTCGAGAGCACGCACCTGTGGCACCGATGCAGCGTTCTGGACATTCCCCTAGTTTGCCATAGCCACCCGAAATCTATATATCCGAATTTTATAGCTCCTCCCCAAATCTGCAGGCCCCTGAGGCCCGCAGAACTTGAGCCTAGATTGCCATCAGCGGCATGCTGGTAAACGTTAACCGTGCCAGCGAAAGAGGGACTGGGCTTTGACTCCATTGCGATATGAAGTTGCTGGTCAGGGGTCTGGAAATTGAAACGCACCGGTGGGCCCCGTAATTTCGTAATTTACCATTGCCTTTGCAAAGCTCGAGGAGCTGAAGAAGCTGGACAGCCAGGATTCGGAGCTGCAGGCCGCTGCTGATCTGGAGCTGCAGGACCGGGGGTTTAGGGCCGCTTAGGCTTTAGGCCCTTTAGGCTTCTCTGTTCTACTCTGGCGCTTAAAGGACGGGCTTCTTTGGATTTGCCTTGGTTCCTTGACAGAACACGCGGCAATTGGACAGCGTCGCTCGTAAGAGACTGTGGTGTCGCACATTCGTCAGTTTGATGGCAGCGAGGGATTGCAGAACCGACAGGTCGGCAAGTGCCGACGACAGGAAGCTCACTTTGAAGTCAGGTTGTAAGTACCTGTAGCTGCGTAGCTGTCACACAGCCGCAGGAGCTGCAGCATCAGCTCGACTCGGGCTTAAGCCCGGCGTTGCTCGGATTGTCTTGAGTCTGTATCTGGCCTACTCGCATCATAGAGTGTACTCAATCATACTACTTACTACCCTTGGAATTTGTAGGAAGAGCTGCATCCGGTCGTAGAGGGACTCCACGTTGACATTGGCGAGCGGAGGTCGTTGTCAGTGGCTGATGCTTGGATGCATTCCAGCTCTGCGCCGGACGATTTCAGCAACATGTCGGGCAGGAAGTCGGAAGTGCATGTATCTTCAGGAGAGGACTGGGTCAACATCCCCGATGGAGCCTGCGTCTGTGGCCACTCCGAAGTCGGGCACAGAAGCTCAGCAAGATCAGACACCCGAAAACTGAGCAGACAGAGCCAGAGCGCGCAGCGCTCGAAATGAGGCAGGCGGCCAGCCTGGCGCGGGTCCCTGCGGAGCCGACAAGGTTCCCCGCCGGGTACAGGACAACGTGTCAATCGCACTGCCAGAATTTTTGAGGGTTTAGGGTTTAGGGTTTAGGGGTTTAGGGTTTAGGGTTTAGGGTTCAGAATGAGTACGACACATTTCTTGCCCTATGATGTTCTGCTGAAATGATGCGCATGTGGGCAGTGAGGCGGCCAGCAGCTCCCAAGCAAGCGTCGGCGAGGGCGATCAGGCAGCTTCTTCCTCACCTGTAAGATGGAGGATAAGAAGAGGCTTTAAACCCGTTCCCATTCAGCCCTGCAGTCTGCTCGTCGCTGACGTCTTGCACCGACAAGATGCAGAGGCAGTCAGCCTGTCCTTGCAGTAAAAGGGCAGTTGAGATCTTTTATATATGAATAAAATAAAATACAATATAATATACTATACGATAATATAATTTAATATAACATAATAACGTAATATAATATCATATAATAATGTAGTAAAATATGATGTTATATAAAAGTAACAAAATATAACGCAATATAACATAATATAATATAACATAGTATATGCTATACTATATGCACAATACTATACTATTTTATAGTCCTTGCAGGAGCCCCCACCTGGGACCGGCGCCTTGAAGGCCTGAGCCCCGATCTGCGTTGCACCGTCCGCGCGTGGGTTTTTTTTTGCTCCGGAGAGGGTTTAGGGTATAGGGTTTAGGGTTTCCGGAGAGGGTTTAGTTTAGGGTATAGGGTTTAGGGTTTCTGGAGAGGGTTTAGGGTTTAGGGAGGTTCCTCGCCCTTTTTCCGTTTCATCAAACTAGATCAAAGTAAAGGCAGAGTGGTACGTTCAGAACTCTAATGCGACTCGTTTGAATGTGCGTCTAAGGGCAGTCTGAAGCGCTAAATCTAAACACGACGTGGTGTGAATGAAATTATGAAGAATCAGAGTCGTACTCCTTCACATCCACAAGTCATGGCGAGACGGTATCTAACCGAGGACTTAATTGAAATGAACTTGTCCATCCAAGCCAGGCAGTGAGACAATGAATGTTTCAAGCAGGAATCGATGGCATCATACACGGACTGATGAACAGAATATCGAGCGTGTGAGATGTAGTGATCGAGTAGCAGCCTTATTTAGATCTTAGCAGTGGCAACCACAAGCTCGCTTTCTCGCTGGCGTACTGTCCCTCTACTTTGACTCTGATCTCCCTATTCTATCTCTCATTCCCTCTCTCTGTCTCGCGCTCTCTCCCCGCCACCAAGAAACACTGGAGAAAAAGTTTTTGGGAGAGACATGGTTCGACGAACGAGGTAGCAAGGTTTGCCGGCTCAAGGCTCTAGAAGCTTTACGAGACCCGTTTTTGTCAAGCTCTGCTGCAGAGGAATCGGGCACAGCATCCAGCAGCGACGGTCCGCGTGTTCAGAGTCCTCCCGAGGCACGCCCTAAGTGTACAGGCGTGTCTTCACGAACGCCGCATCGCTGCCTTCGTGAGAAATGGCACCAGCTGCACGAGCTTCTCTTGCAGTAGCCCCTCAGTAACCTGGACTCGGCCACAATTGAGTGTCACGGTTCTACTGTGTGCCTCGTTGGCGCTTGGCTGGAGGCGGCGCCGCTGCCCGTTCAAGAAGCGCATCGCTCGCAG